TATATCTCCAAGTTGAGAAGGTTAAAGAAACGCTGCTTTAGAGGCTGGCAGAAAGGAAGAAGATCCTGTGACAACAGTCTGGGAGTTGAAGACCATGCAACTTAAAGTTCCAAAGTTGAGAAAGATTGCATTAGTTAGAAGTAAAGCCTTTGACTGGAATCATCGTACATACACCAGAAAGAAAGAAAGAAAGAAAGAAAGAAAGAAAGAAAGAAAGAAAGAAAGGAAGGGACTGTCATTTCTTTCATTATTTCTTTATCATTTTTATCCCATTTTATTATTTATTTATTTCTTATTTAATTCAACTTGGACACTGCCTGACTCCAATTGACAATGGGCATCAACAGTAACATAAACTAACACAAATCTCCCCCTCAAAAATAATATCCAATGCACATGACAGTCCGAGAACTGTGTACAATTTTCAAAATGACATCCTTTTGTTTTTTAAGCAAGGCAGCCAGTTTTGCACAAGCGACATTGAGATATTTAGAGATCTAATGAAAGTTGGCAGAAGCAGGAGGGATATGCCACACCCACGGCTACTGAAAATTTAAAAAAAAAAGTGTCAGACAGTAAATATTACATCAGAGCATTCCCAATGCTGCCTTAGATCTATATTCAGAAGCCCTACTGGCCTGAAATCTGCTGCCCATTTCCCCAAACCATCATTTTCCTGTGAAAAAGCTTCCATTTTTCTCCCTTGCTGTCCATGTAGCTTAAAAAAGAAAAATAATAATGTTCTTTGGCGTGTTTCATGGTGGCAAATAACAGAGGATGTCAGTTTTGCTTTCCTTTGCCCAGCTCTTCATTATTGTAGGACTTCCTTGGCTGACCCTACTTTCCTGCCTGCAAAAGGTTCACGGGAGACGTACCAGGAGAAAGTTTTATGCCGAGATTTATGTGAAGGAAGGGGAGCCTGCCTACCAGTCAAAGATGATTGTGCGGTCCGAGGCAGAGGTGGTATTCAGCAGGTTCTGACCAATTCTGGAGAAGCGGTAGCAGAAATTTTGAGTAGTTTAGAGCAGGGGTCCCCAACCACCGGTCCCTGGACCGGTACGGGTCCGTGGATCATTTTTTACCAGGCTGCAAAGCTTGGGCGCCGCCATCTTGTTTCAACGGTGCTTCCAGGTTTTCGGTTGCTTCCAGGTTTTCGGTTGGAAAGCGGCGTTTGGGTGCTCGCGCCTTAGTTTCATCGAAGGGGGGGACGGCTTCGAAAGAAGAGCCATCCTGATGGCGGTGGAGTCTCGCGTTACTCAGGTACTCGTCCGTGGAAGAATAAATAATCGTGAAACCAGTCCCTAGTTCAAAAAAGGTTGGAGGCCACTGGTTTAGAGAACTGGCAAATACTACTGGCCCCGCCCCCATCTATTCTCTGCCTCCCGAGTCCCAGCTGACCGGCTGGGTCTTCTTTTATTGCCCTGCACAGGAGAACGGAGCTGGAAAGCAAGTTAGTAGGATGGGGAGGGAATGGGATTTTGCAGTAAACTTCCCCCGGGAGTGGGGAGGGAATGGGGATTTTACAGTATCCTTCCCCTGCCACGCCCACCAAGCCATGCCCACAGAACTGGTAGTAAAAAACTTTGAATCCCACCACTGTTCCCAAGGTCAAGCAATCCCCTTTTGCGACTTACTGACCAGTAAAGTCAGTGGGGAAGCCAGATAATTGCACTAGTAACTGTGCAGTGATTTACTTAACAACGGTGGCAAGAAATGTTTTAAAATGGGGCAAAACTCACGTAACATCTGTCTTGCTTCGCAAGAGAAATTTTGGCCTGACGATTTTGGTCGTAATTCGAGGGCTAGCTGTATTCATGAAATCCATGCCATATGGAAAACCCAACTAAACAGAAGCTGCCTTGTTTTAATTTGCTGCCGTTTCAACCCCATTATAGGTCCTCAGCTTATGACCATAATTGACCCCAAAATTTCTGTTGCTAAGCAAAACTTTTGTTCAGTGAATTTTGTCCTCACTTTACAGCCTTTCTTGCCACAGTTGTTAAGTGAATCACAGCAATTGTTAAGCCAGTAACACGGTTGTTCAGTGAATCTGGCTTCCCCGTTGACTTTGCTTGTCAGAAGGTGGCAAAAGGGGATGATGTGACCCTGGGACACGGCAAACGTGATAAATATGAACCAATTGCCAAGCCTCTGCATTTTGATCACACGACCATGGGGATGCTGCAGTGGTCATAAGTGTGAAAAACAGTCATAAGTCACTTTTGTCAGTGCCATTGTAACTTTGAAAAGTCACTAAATGAACTACGGTAAGTCGAGGGCTACCTGCATTACTGATCCATTATTTCCTTACCCATTTTCTCCAAGTCTCAATTGATATCACCTCTCTTAACTCTTCCGCTTGCATTAGAATGACATTTTCCAGAATTCCCAGACTTGCTACATTAGGTGAAAATTCAAGGAATTACGGTTGCAACAAATTTGAAAAGTTCCGGGATTGGAGAAGGCTTTTTGTCAGCCTTGCATTGCGAGGTAATCCAGACAAGAAGCACACTCAGAACTATTTACTCTATTTTATTGCAAGATTACTTTACATTGGAAGGGCAGATGCAGCTCACTTTAGCCGCCGAAACCCTATTTTGTCTATCCTAGCTTTCATGTGTTTTCCTTCGGGCCCCTCGCTCTGCCCTGCAAATTCCTAGAATGGTCATGTGGTGATTTGTTGTTGTCAAAGAGCTCATACAATCCTGACTCAGAGCAGCAACAAGCTCAAGGCTAACTCCCTTTTCTTGTTGTAGATATCAATCAGATCTTTATTAAGGACGCAGACCAGCATAAGGAGAGTGGAATATAAACAATAATTTTTAAAAGGCTAAAAATATTATACACCTACGCAAACCACCCACACGCAGCAGCATAAGGAAGATGGCATCTGCAGGATAAAAGGTCGAAGTCTGATTTTAAAAAATAGCTAACTATCTGAAAAAAAAAACCTTTTAAAAATGTTTAAAAACGGTCTTTAAAAATCTAAAGGGAGAGGTAAGAACATGCTATGGATTCAGGAGAACTTAAAAACTAGTATAGGGCAGACTAAATCTGTCACAATGCAAGGAATTCTTAAACAACAAAATAGATGCTCGTTAAGATTAGTTTATGACACAGGTCCTCAGTGATGCATTGCTGCCCAGAACCTGACAACATTATATGTTGTAACAGGATTTGGATTTGCAAGCAACAGGAAGATGTGGAATTGTCCTATGCGCTCTAAGTATTTATATTGTAATAATGAGATGACAGTAGTATGGATACTCTCTGTGTAATACAGGCACTGGAAAAATACGTGCTATGTTTCTCCAGTGTGTCTTGAGTTACAAGGGCATTGTCTCTCTGGGTAAGGAATTTTCCTGTTATCAGCCTTCAAGGAAAGCTGAGGGCATGGCGTTGTAGCAGGGTAAAGGTCTCTGGTGGTTAGGTATTTTTAGTTAAGTATGTCGGGGAGAGGGTGGGAGGCAGAGTAGCTATTGGATTCATTGGCAATAAAGTTTGGGGGCCTGGCTAGGTCCAATTAGTGCTCTGTGTCTGCTACACACTGTTTAATGAAAGCTTTGGCCTGATCGTCCTAACCCATGCTGAATGGAAAACTTGGAGAGGAGCCCAAGGGTGAGATTTTACTTGCCACTGTTTTTTTTTTCAAAATGGACTGAAAGTCATCCCTCATAATTAGTGAGGCGAGACCAAAGGGAGTGGGGAGGATAGGATCCAATCGAGGTTGGTTACCAGGACCAGCAGTTTTGTCTTCTGAGCTTTCAGACTGGAGCCCATCTTCAGTGCACCCACTCTGCTAGAAAGAAGTTCCCTATATGAGGCCAAAAGTTTGGAAGACAAAACCTCTGGTCCCAGGGACTGACCCAGATTGGATACGGCAATGTTATCCTGTATATTCGCCTTCATTCGTGGAAAAACAACAGAGTCTGAGCTAATAATTGAGTATGTCACCCACACTCTAGACTCCACTTTCATGAGTCTCAGGATGGCATTAGATACCCATTTGGGGACTTGAAGGGCCGTTCTTAGAAATTTAGATTGAACAGGTTCTATTGATGCAAAATTAGGAGCACCATCAAGTTGGTTGTGTTATTGGCTTAGCTTCAAATAGTTTGAATGTGGCAGGAGTACAGTAGCCACCTCTTGAGTAGTTTGAGGATAACATTTTCAGCAGTATACTCTCCATGGAGTTCCCTGTGGTTGGCAGAATGAAGGACTATTTCCAGGTACTTGCAACAGGAGACCTGCTCAACCTTATCTATCCTCCAGGAGTGGTTCTTGGGCTTTTTGGTAAAGGTCATGATTTTGGCCTTTTGATATTTAAGTATCAGCTGGCCTCCTTGAATTACTACGTTAGCGCTCTCAATGATCTTTAAAGGCCAATAGATGTTTTTGAAAGTATTGCTGTATTGTCTGTATAGAGTAAAACAGATGTGTATGTCTTCCAGCAACTTCTGAGTGTTGGTTAGGGTATGTGTGAAAGTTCATGTTGAGAAGATGGCCCACCATGAAGTTAATACAGAAACTGAATAACACTGGGGTCAGTATAAAGCCTTGCTTTATGCCTTACACAGTTCCAATGGCACTGGTGAGATGGTCCCAGGATTTCCATCTTACGTTGAGTGAAGCCCCTTCCTGTAGCACACCTATTAGAAGAAGTAGATGTTGATCAATCAAGGAGGCTTCTAGTTTTTCCCACAATTTAGCTTGGGATATAATAGAATCAAAAGTTGTTTTGAAGTCTATGAAAGCAGCATATAGAGAAGCTGTATTGAGGAAGAAGTATTTTTTAATCGGATGATGGAATACTAGGCCAATCTACCATTGATCAATAGTAGATTGACCTTCCCTAAAGCCAGATTGCTTCTCTGTTCCAGCCAGTATTGTGGTGTCTTGCATAAAGTTTGCTGATTATTTTGAGGAGGCTAATTAGTCTATAATTGACAGGCTCATACTTTACATTGTAAAGGAAGAAATCCATTTCCCTAGAAATAACATTTTCCAGAGATGATGAAGATAGAGATAAAGCAAGGTCTTCACAATTCTTCAGAAGCCTGAGAAAGTTTAAAGGGAAGTTAGCAGTCTTCCATACAATTTTACTGAAGTGATAATTCAGCAACAGAGGTCAGTTTTAGAATTTAGAACTGGATTTAGAACCAGATCAGATCCAATAAGTTAATAGTTAGGATTTCTAGTCAAAAACAACCTTTCGTAAATTCTTCTCTTTGAATTTTCTCAACAGTTATCTGATTCAGGGGTAAAGAAAAAGCGGATGTGTATATATCTTTATGCCTGCTGAAATTTTCTCCCCAGGAGTTTAGATACCTCCAAATTCTTTTCAAAGGCACTGTGTCATTGCAGTGAAAATCCATTTTAAAGATGAGTGTGTGGCATGTGAACATAAATAGGGCAAGACTGATAATACACAGATCATTCCTGTCCATAAAAATGATGAAGCTGGTATACTAATATATGTTGGGAGGGAAAGTATTTCCAGCCACCATTGCCATCTGGTTCAGTCTAGCCAAGAGCAGAAGTATAACACAAGTAGTCCTTGATTTACAACAGTTCACTTAGTAATGGTTCAAAGCTGCCACAGCACTGAAAAAAATAACTTATGACTCTTTTTCACATGTATGACCATTGCAGCATCCCCAGGGTCACCCAATTTACATTTAGATGCTTGCAACTGGCTCACATTTATAATGGTTGCTGTGTCCCAGGGCCATTTGTGACCTTCTGACAAGCAAAGTCAGTGCGGAACTTGGATTCGCTTCACAAATTAGCACTTGTTACTAATTTAACAACTGCAGTCGTTCACTTAACAAATGTGGCAAGAAAAGTTGTCAAATGAGGCAAAACTTACTTAACAAGTTTATCATATATAGCAAGATAAATTTTGGGCTTAATTGTGGTCATAAGTTGAGGACTACCTGTATAGTTCTTTTTTAGAGTTATGGACCAGAATTCTGTAGGTTAATAAAATAAATGAATTCGGTTTCAAATGAAATAAAATATAAACAAACAATCGTAACTACATTTTCAAGGAAATTAAAACGATGGCAGGTTTTACATATGGTCTTACACTGTTTTGCTCCATTCAAGGAAACCAAATTATATTAATCTGACAGGAGCTGAACAGCTACACATAAAGGCTGTTCAATTAAATTTTAAAAAGCAGGCATAGCATACCAAAGCAGTTTCAAGTCACTGACTTCTATCTAAAGTGGGAATAACACATTGTCCATATACTCAAGCAACATTCTGCCGCCTCTTCCCAGGAGGAGCAATCTTCTTAATGGATGACTCATATTTGTATATTTCTAAATGCCTCATTAACCCCATGACTACAGTAGAGGAAGAGAGACAAAATAATATATCATTCCTCACCTTTCCAATATGGAAATGTCAATATTTAGAAGTGGGAGTAAGCTTGGGTACAAAAACCAAAAAGCTTATAAGAGTAAGGCTACCATAATGCCTCTTTGTGATCATCTTCAGCTCAAGACCCAATAAATAACAATAACAGCTCCAAAAACATTACAGGTAATCCTCAATTTGCAACCATTCGTTTAGTGACTGTTTGAACTTACAACCCTTTTTACACTTACAGCCATTTTTCACACTTACAACCATGGTGGCATCCCCACGGTCAGGTGTTCAAATTTCGGATGCTTGGCAACTGATTCATATTTATGACGGTTGCAGTGTCCTCGGGTCACGAGATCACCTTTTGAGTCTTTCTGACAAGCAAAGTCAATGGGCGAAGCCAGATTCGCTTAACAGCAGTGTTACTAACCTAACAACTGCAGTGTTTCACTTAACAACTGTGGCAAGAAAGGTCATAAAATGGGACAAAACTTACTCAACGACTGTCTTGCTTAGAAACACAAATTTTGGGTTCAATCGCGATCATAAGGGGAGGACTACCTCTAAAGAGATCCTTGCACTAGACGAAAAGCTTAGTTCAACGAGCCACATAGTTTTTCATAAAGCATTAGCGGTAAGCAAGAGCAAAGGCTCTGGACTTCCCATAATCCAAGTTCAAGGCTGCTACTATAACTGAATTTTCCTCTCACAAAATTTCCACTAGTTTAGTATGGTGGTCAGAAGTGGAGGGAAACAACAAAAACATTGCATCCAGTGTGGACCAAACCCTGACAATCTTTGTAAGGGAGCCAGGGCATTGTGGTATTGGAAAGGAATGTAGTATTATCTATGCCAAGTCTTGTGGATATCATAAATGCTAGTGTCTCCAGATAAAGGTCAACAGCACTGTTCAGGTTCACTAACTGATTTACAGAACCGAAACTCCTGGAACAAAAGGACAGCCATTCATCAAAGCAAAGACTGCAGGACTCCTTTGTGCCAAGGAGCACATTCAGTCTTGTATGGAATGTCAAACAGTGGGCAGGGCCCAAAGAGAAAGAGGCATGGATGGGCACAACTATCCCCCAGTGCTAATTTTGTAGCTGATTAATCACTCGTTTATTCAAATGACACCAAAATTTTATCCTGTCCCATTCTACATCACAATAAAACCCTAATTCAATTTCCCCAGCAGTGAAACTGGGCTAGGTAGATTATGATAAACCAACTAAAGACAAAGAAAAACGAAAGAAAAAAAAAAATTATAGGATCAAAATACTCTAATTTCATCCCTTTCATTAGCATTAGAGTGCAATGACCAAACCAAATGGGCAGAATAATTACATGATGATGTAGCTTCCTGGACTTTATTTTTCACCAATTTTACCAAGAAAATGAAGAGCGGGGGCTGTATTTGTAGGAAAAGATACGTTTAGCCCCAAAGTTGCTAAAGCTTGACCTATAGCTTAAAACCTTTTCTGGTCACATAGTATTTCCTACATTACTCAGCTATAGGCAGCTTCCATTATACCAATGGAAAATTTACCCTATTGTTCATCATATAAGAATTTGGAAGTATCACAGCTTAAGCCAGTTTAATCAAAATCACACACATTTTATGATCCAGCATTCAAACAAATGAGTATTTCAAAACAGGAACTTCACCACTACGCTTGGCTGTATCATTTTCAAATTAAATTTTAGATTTATACTTTCTTATTACTATACAGTAAAGATCAATTAAGTCCCTCTTAAAAGACTCTTTTATATAAAAAAAACAAAGACAGCAAACTCTGAGCCCAGAGTTATTTGGCACAAGCAACTGAGTCAACATTTGGAACCTTGCTACTTTACCTACTGCTGAACAATCCTCAGAATTGTCTTAATGAGGTTGAAAGTACAGGGGATCCCAAAACTTTTGTGTTCAGAAATGTGAGCGGAGAATAAAATAAATATCATATTACTCCTGGATTTATTGTTTAAGAATATTTGCCTTTGTGCCTCACAGTTAGGTACTCTGTATCTTATTTCAGTAAGTTAAGGACTGTTGTTTCTACTCACCAAACCTTAAGGAGATCAAAGCCCATTATCCAGTGTGAGCCATAGAATTATGCTTTTTAAGACCTAATTAAGTTAGTGCCTCCCACTTGGAGGAGGAGCTGATGATAACTAGTGATAAAGCAGCGTGCACTAGGATTCTTGCTTATTATCAATAAATTAGGAACCAGAAACATTCTAGACTAGCACTTTGAGATTGAGTCAGCTGTGTTTATTTCTAATTCCCATGTCTTGAGGGGGAGGAAATCCTCTTTGAGAAAATTCCAGGCTGTTTTTGGCTTATTCAGAGGCAAAAAGAGTTTCTGTAATCAGTTATGGATGTGTTGAAGTGGAGACTAAACAATAATTTGCTGTGGATGCTTTTAATTTGTATTCCTACACTGACCAGTATAGGGAGTTGTTAGCCCCTTTTAACGATTCTATTCTCATCTGTAACAATGTCTCCCTTAGTTCATACAGGCTTTTTAGTCTTTTTCCAATTCAGGCTTTCTTCCCTTAGCTCTACCAAAATAAACACAGATCTGAACCACATGCAAAAAGAAAAAAAAAAGGAAAGTCCCCATCTGTTATTCAAAACAATTGGCAAAGCTGAAACTGTTTTCAGTGTTGCACCTGAATGAAAATGAGCTCAGTCAAGTTTACTGATTGCAGGCTATTAGCCACAATTTAACAGAAAAAGTCTGTACTCTTCATATCTCCATATTCCAAAGTCCTTAGCTTGTCTGCAAACTGAATTAAGGACTTCACTTAGTCATTTTATCTTTGGTCATTGCCATGCAATGTGGAACTTACTCATATTAGCATACCTCTACTGAAAGCAGTGGATTAATAGGAAAGCTCAGGAAAAAAAATCCAGCTCTGCAGGGGTGAGGAAGAGGGAAGAGAGTTCCAAGTTCCAAGGTTAATAGTAATATTTACAAAGCATTCTCAGATAGAATTTAAATATTCAGCTTGCCTTGGAAACTGAAGAAATGCCAGGAACCACACTAAACTCTTCCAACCATTTACCAGGGATTGTCATTCAGCTGCTTTCAAAGGAGAAAGCAGAATAAAAGACAAGATTTTATAGGGATAATATCATGAACCCTGACTGAACTGTCAGCTAGAACTAGTCCTTTTTTTAAAATAAACTTTATTAAAGATTTAAATATATATATACAATATATAATGCAACACATTTTGTTGAAAATGAAACCAATAAACACGAAACATATATGTTTCTAATCACTTAGACGTGTGAACTAGTCCTTCTATCAGTCCGTTTCACCTGTTTCCAGCTCCAGAGGTTGTGATACACTAATTTTTAACTTCTCCAGTCCTCTTATTTGCCAGATAATGATACCTGTCCTGCCCTACTATATTGTAAGGTTGCTTGTTGTGTGTGTGGGGGGGGGGGAGTGGATATATAAATTAAGCTTTGAGAGCATTGCTGATTTTCAAGAACAAATAAGAAAGACGGGGGGTTGACATGATAGCAGTATTCCAATATCACAGAGGCTGCCACAAAGAAGAAGTAGTCAGTCAACCTATTCCCCAAAGCATCTGAAGGCAGAACAAGAAGCAATGGAGGGAAACTAATCAAGTAGAGAAGCAACTAGAACTAAAGAGACATTTCTTGACAGAATAATTAATCAGCTTGATTTCAGAGGTTGCCGGTGTTCCATTACTGGAGATTTTAAAGAAGAGATTGGAAAAAAATGTTTGTCTGGCATCTTCTGATCAGGGAGTGGGACTAAAAGACCCCAAATTCCTTTCAGTTCTGTTATTCTGTACAATAGTGGGTGAGGACGTTAGAGTGGAGTGAGGGACCCTGCCTGAAACCCGACCTCTGGCCCTCAGTTTCTGCCAGTATTACAGTATCTAAGCAAACATTCATCCAAAGAAGGTAAACACTGCACACATATTGTATACTGTGCAGAAATGGCAGGTAGCAAGGGTTACAATTAATGCCTGACGGTTGTGAAAATGCCAGCAGGTACGATACTAAATCTCTCTTACTCGTGCATAAAATCCAGTTTGGGTTATCCCAACGAGGCTAAGATGAAAGTGAGGGAACCAAAACTCCACAAGCATAGGCTGTACGAAGTCTCTGAAACCATGTTTCCAGAAGTAAACCAATGCAGAAAACACATTTTAGACAAGTATTAAAAAAAAAAAATTCAGAAAGTTCTTAACTGAAATTCAAACTCTGAGGGTTTATTACCTCCTTTGTGACACACAATAATGTTTCAAAGGCAAAGCGGAAACAACTACTTTGGTACTAAGAGCATCACACAAGGATTTGGTTTCCAAGAGGTCTATAAATATGTAAATACACATTTGATTTTCTGCTTAGAAAATGGTAAAAATGTGTTAAAAGACAGACTTCCACATACTACTTATTCAATATTTGCCAGCCTACCTACCACTGTACTGTACTTTCGAATTTACTGAACAAATAATATGCTACTTTTAAACTGGTGGTTTTTTTTTCACAGACAAGTTACAGATAAACTGTGCTTATATATCCATGAGCCACAATAAATGGTTATGTTTTCAGGCAGACCCCCTCATTCATCCCTTTTATATTATCTTTTTGCATAAATTGTTAAGTTTCCATTTCAAACGGATGAGCCTGTAACCTAAGCCATTTGAGTTTCATCTTTCCTACAGATAAAATTACTCTTTTTAAATGCTGCACTGATCAAATCAGCATCGTTTTTTTCAGAGAGATGTACAACGACATATATTTACAAGCACACAACTATGTTACAGTTTGAACCCTGGCACTAAACATCTAAAAACAATATATTTTTGCCTCAGTTTTCTTAGAAGTACACTACCAACACTTTAAGTTTAAATTAGATAGCAAGCATGTTTAAGATTCCCCCATCTGAAAATAAAATAAAAAAACCCTACATAGCCCTGAATCAACAGTCCTTTTTCTTAAGAAATGCATTTCTTTCTGACATACCTTACGAATGGAGAGGAGAACTCCCTCTTCGGCACGACTTTTCAACAGCTTCACTCACATTTCAGTAGTTCCAAGACATGTCACAGCCAGCAAGAGCTCAGAGAATGAAAAATAAAACAATTTCCCCCTTTCCGTCTTTCTTCCTTGCGGCATGGGAAAGCTTTACACGTTATAGATTTGAAAGCGCACTCATCTCCCTCCCTCTCCTCCTCACTATGAGAAATAATCTCCTCCCTGCTATTAGAAGCATGTTACCATTATCTGTTTAAAGCACATGTCACCACACATATGCAAAAGCTGTGTGAAAGCTATACTTATTTATACAGGAAGCGCGAGCCACAGCACTTCCTAGTTCCCAAGTCCCATTTCAACTGCAGGTGATTATTTTTAACCCTCCCAAAGGCTGGCTGATGTCTAACTTTTTTTTTTTAATTAAGGAAAATTCTTCCTGAATTCTAACTGGGTAGTCCAGGAAAGCTATCAAAACATTTTACTCATAATTAAAGAGCTGGATCACAATTGATTTGGAACACACACACATGCACACACACACATACACACAAAGGCAAAAGAATCAAAAGCTTTTGATTAGAGCTGCTGCTTTTTATTTGCTCCAGGCTTCTTGGTCTTTAACTGCTGTGAGAGAAGCAGAAACACAACAAAGGCTATCTATCCTAAGAGCTGCATCCAGCGCATTTCTTTATGTTATACACATCTATTAATGGTACAGCCAGTGTGTTTAGAGATGGGTTGTGCTGCTCAGAATTCGTTGTCCTACGCAGCACCTCAAAGTTTAGGCACTGTAGAGAAACTACACTGAATGTAACACACAAAAAGCAACATTACATTGATGTAGCGCAGGGGTGTCAAACTCGCATCACTTATGCTATCGTCATGTGATGCATGATGATTTTCCCCCCTTCGCTAAAACCGGGGTGGGCGTGGGCAGCACGTGACACATCTGGCCCGCAGGCCACCAGTTTGACACCCCTGATGTAGTGGTTAAGATGCTAACTAGAAACTGGGAGACTGAGTTCAAGTTCTCCCTTAGGCATGAAATCTGGCTGTGTGACTTTGGGCAAGGTACTTTCTCTCAATGCAACCCACCTTACAGGGCTGTTATTGCTGGGAAAGTAGGGACCAGGTGCATTATGTTATGTCTCCTTGAGTTCTACAAATTAAAGGTGGGATAGACATATAATAGATAAGATAGATAGATAGATAGATAGATAGATAGATAGATAGATAGATAGA